AGCAGCAGCAGCAGCAGCAGCAGCAGTGTTTGTTGCTGCACCGCAGCAGGAGCACCAGCAACCCACGAGACAGCAGCAGCAGCAGCAGCAGCAGCAACAGCAGCAGCAGCAGCAGGAAGAGAGAAGGGTCTGCATATAGAGATATCTCACCTTAACAGAAGACACGCCTCGGTGCCTGTGTTTCCTCCTCTCCTGCTGCTGCTGCTGCTGCTGCTGCTTCTGCTTCTGCTGTTGCTGCTGCTGCTGCTGCTGCTTCTGCTGCTGCTGCTGCAGCAGCTTGGCGACGCCACCAGGGACCTCCAGTGCTGCTGCCAGCTGCTGCGCGGTGGGCCTATCCCAAGGCCGCAGCGACAGCAGACACCGCAGCAGCGACATCAGCTCCTCAGAGTACCTGCAGCAGCAGCAGCAGCAGCAGCAGCAGCAGCAGGAAGAATAACAGCAGCAGCAGCAGCAGCAGGAGGAGGAATAACAGCAGCAGCAGCAGCAGCAGTAGTAGAGAGAGAGAGAAAAGGCGGCAGAACGCGGTGTATAGGCAGCTGCTAATGCTTCATGCATCTGCTCTCTCTACACTCAACTAGGGTTTAGGGTTTAGGGTTTAGGGTTTAGGGTTTAGGGTTTACTTGTGTGTAGCAGGAATTGTATAGGCCCCGCTGCTGATGGCTAGAGCCGAGGCCCCCTCAAAGGGGTGACGATAAAAACATAAAATAAACAACACGCAACCCAGCATCTGCAGCAGCAGCAGCAGCAGCAGCAGCAGCAGCAACCGCAGCAGCAGTAACAGTAGCAAGAGCAGCAGCAGCAAGAGCAGCAGCAGCAGAGACAGCAGCAGCAGCAGCAACAGCAGCAACAGCAAGGACAAGAACAGGGGCACGACTGCTGCTGCTCCCGTCACTGTTATGTGTTTGCTGCTGATGCTGCTGCTGCTGTTGCTTCTGCTGCTGCTGCTGTTGCTGCTGTTCCTGCTGCTGCTGCTGCTGCTTCGCCTATAGCGCTGTACCGTACACCTCAGGGTTTAGGGTTTAGGGTTTAGGGTTTAGGGTTTACCCAGATGTCTGCTGGGGGCCCCACAGGGTACTCAAGGTAAAGATCCACCATCTCAGGGGCCCTGCAGCAACAGCAGCAGCAGCAGCAGCAACAGCAGCAGCAGCAGCAGCAACAGTTGCAGCAAGGCAGCAGCAATGATCAGAGGCAAAACTGCAGCAGCAACAGCAGCCCGAGACGAAGCAGCAGCAGCAGCAGCAGCAGCAGCAGGAGCAGCACCAGAAGCAGCAGCAAAAAAAAAGCAGCAGCATCCGCAAGAACAGCAGCAGCAGCACGACCAACATCAGCAGCAGCAGCAGCAGCAAGACCAACAGCAGCAACAGCACCAGCGCCAGCAACAGCAACACCAGCAGCAGCAGCAGCAGCACCAGCAGCAGCAGCAGCAGCACGATACCTATAAGCAAGAGTACAATATTTTTCAATTCTTTCAGCCAGCAGCAACCTCTCCTTTTTATCTCTGTTGCTGGGATCGACGATCCCCCGTAAACAACTCCCAAAATCACAAACCCTAAACACTGCCTCTAAACCCTCAGGGTTTTCAGCTGTATCTCCACCTTCTTGGCCTCTCCCGCGGCCCCACAAACCCCCAAACAAAGAAAAAGAAAACACAGAGGAAGACGGGGGGGGCCCCCCGGGGGGCCCCCCAGGGGGCCCCCCAGGGGCCCCCCCAG